TCGAAGTCAACCTTGCCCGTGCTAAGCAGTAGCTTGACTACCGCCTCATGTCCGTTCTCTGCTGCCCGCGAGAGCAGCGTCTGTCCGCCATGATTATTCGCGTCGAAGTCAACCTTGCCCGTGCTAAGAAGTAGCTTGACTACCGCCTCATGTCCGTTCCCTGCTGCCCGCCAGAGCGGCGTCTGTCCAAAAATCTTGTCCTTCACGTCGATATCGACCTTTCCCGTGCTAAGCAGCAGCTCGACTACCGCCTCGTGTCCGTTCCCTGCTGCCCGCCAGAGCGGCGTCTGTCCAGACATCTTGTCCTTCGCATTGACGTCGACCTTGCTTGTGCTTAGCAGCAGCTTGACTACCGCCTCGTATCCGTTCTCTGCTGCCCACGATAGCGGCGTCCGTCCTTCGTAATCCCTCCAGTTGGCATTCACTTTACCCAAATCGATTAAATGCTTAACAATGGCCTTATTACCATTATCAATGGCCCAAGCGAAAACTTTCCAATCCTTGGCTATCGCATCTGATTGAGGTACCCACCGATTGATCAATCTTACTGACAGATCGTACATGGTTTCCGACTGCCCTGACATATAAAATATGTGGTGTAGCCAATATGCTCTCGCGTATGAATAGAAGCGGAATTCTTCCACCGCTTTCGACCGGAAGGGTTTACGCGCTTCGGCAAGGGTCTTGCTGATGTCGAAATCAGGCCGCTTGCTCGACCTTAAGAGTTTCAAAGCAAGATTTTGGACGGTGCTTGAAGACCCTATAGCGGCACGAACAATATTAGATGGTGTTGACTGTATTCTGACTGGAGGCACCCTCGTCTTGGATAGCTCGGTTCCGAAAACACCGTAGTTGAGGTAAGTGACAATAATGTCCGCCATTGTCCTCTGTGCCTTTTCCGCTGTAAATGCCATCTTGTTTAAGTCGTGAGACCCGTTGAGGAGGAATTGCTTGACGCTATGGTGTATGAAACGGATGGTGGTCTCTTCTTCGTCGAGAGTGAGGAGGCAACCACAGCAAGCCAGCGCCGAATGTACGTCATTTGGGAGTCTTGAAGGCGTCCAGATAGTGTCTCCAGGAACTACACTGAGAGCCTCTCGCAACTCATCCGCCGTTAGGGGCCGGGAGGCCGCTACAACAAGTTGCAGTATTCGTGTCTGGTAAGCCTGTCCTGATGGTCCTGATTTGTGCAGGATTCGGGAAAAGGTCTCTGAGAGGTCTCTAGGTAGGTCTGCGAGAGCATCTCGGATGGCCTCATCTGTTTTCATCTCACACAAAGACTTGATCTGGAGGGCAACCCAAAGGAACATTCCCTGCGATCCGTTTACGAGAGCATCCTGAATGTCTAGTATAAGTGTCGGGTCTCCAATAATTAGCTTTCGGCTTTCTAGGCAACTTCCTAGCTCTGCTTCAATGAATGCTTCAATGTCTGGGTTGTCCTCCGGAATCGAAGCAATCCGAGTGATTGCAAGTCGCTTAGTAAATGCCTCCAATCCATTGTTCGGCTCCAGTCGAAATGAGATCAAAAGCCGGAGTTTGAGAGACTGTTGGATCTTTTCAAGTCCTTGAGCCACTGCTTCTCTCTCTACATGTTCGCATTCGTCCAATCCATCGAGGACGAAGTACGCTTCGTGGCCGGATGGGAAACCGTGACAGATCAATTCGAGTACTCTTTCGGTACTCTCGATCGAGCAGGTCTCTTCGTATGCATCTGCCACCACAGAAAGGTCTGGTATGGTGCGCAGCAATTGTCGCGCCAGGGAACCAAGAATTGTCCGTGCCGTTAAACTCCTAGGAATATCGTACCTGCAAAAGAAGTATGCCACTGCAACCGTATCATTTCTGGCGCAAATATGAAGGTCGTCCACGATATTCGCTAGCAAAACAGATTTTCCCGATCCCAGTTTGCCTGTATACAGAAGCGTACACGATCTTGCGTAGTCTTTCCACTCCTGGTATTCGGCAAGCGACGCGAATAGGGATGAATTTCCGACTTTCCGGGTCTGTTTCCACGCTGTCTCATAGTCGTACTTGGAGCAAAAATCGAGCACTCGAAGATTCGTAGCTAGCTTTTGACGACGGTCAGCGGATTTAGAATGCTTGATAAATAGATCCCGGGATCGAGAGTTCTCTTGGGCTTCCATTAAGATCATCTCCTCCTTGATTGAACCGGCCCAACGATCGAGGTCGGTTTGGAAAGTCTTTAAGTCCGAATCATTCAAAGCGGACGTGACTTGCCGAAAGGTCGACATCGCTGTGAAGTTGAACAGATGACGGCAGAGACCAACTACCGCGATGAAATATTCACAGAGCTGTGATTGCAGACTGCTGGATTGCGGATAGAGTAGGGCCATTTTTTGGTAACGTGGGGCTGAGCGACCAATGCCCATGAAAAGAATGGACAACTTCTCGACGTAGCATGAGAAGCTCACGATTGACTGTGGATGTATTAGTGGATGAATGCACCAAAAGTCAAGGCACTGACGAGTAACGACATGCGCACCAGCGACCAGACGCCACATGCGACTATATTTTGCGAGCCTCCAACTACGACATCTCCAAGTGCGGCGAATTGCTGAACTCCTTGTAGGAAGTTTGTGAAACGGGGCCCAAAGCAACGGCCGCCAGCTTTTCTCGACATCTGACGGTCAATCTCAGCTGTAAGGCGCATCACATCGCTAGGATCTGGGGGATATTTGCGCGATTGGGATTTAAGAGTGCGGAAGGCGGTTTTCTGCCTGTCTGAGAGGTCCGCTTCAAACTGGGAAACAGCTTGAGCCAAGCGAATTTCGGGCTTTAGCCGCGAAGCATTTGCCACAACATTAGACATGGTGTACTGATTTAAGCAGGAAACCGACAGAGCGTAGCGAATCTTGACGCAATGGTTCCCATTCAGAGATTGAGAGGGAGTACGAAACTAAGCATGATCATAAGTGAGCGATTGTCCGCAGTACTGCTTAGCACACGTAGATGGCTCCGCGGGGCTGAACTTACCACATGAAGGACCCGAAGTTCAGCTTGCCTGCACCACTCATAAGTCGCGAAAGAAATCCAACCAAGATCGCTATTAGAACCTGATAGGTGAGGTAGTGGGAAGAGCTCAAATGCTGGCGCTCAGGCTGAGAACAGCTAAGATACTGTGGGCTGATTCAAAGGGCGGGCGATTGCACAGCCCACAGTGTGGCGCGGTAAGGCTGACATATTGGGTTAACGTGTTGGATCAGTAAGCTGGCCAGATCAGTAAGCTGGCCACCCCACCAAGCCGCGCAGCACTTCAACAGCGATATCTCTACAACAACATGATATTTTTCTATGAGATTTTGTACATAGATAGTCTATTGCTGCTTACACTGAGTCCTTCTGTGTCCTTGCTCATGGCACTTGCTGCACGTAGGTGGTGCGCGCTGGCGTGCAGGCGTCGATCCAGCATCAGCAGCCTCAGCGAGAGCTAGATGAGCTGTAGCAGCTAGAGCTCGCCCCTGATCAGCTTCTAGAGCTCCTCCTGTCGCAATATACTGTCTGCGCCTATCCTGCCTTTGTCGCCAGCGACGATTAGTTACCCGTAGCCTCCTATTCTCTTCTACAAGGAGCGTTACTGAGTTCATTGCAAGCTGACAACCCTTAACAAGCTGGGCAAAAGCAACGCTTGTAGGGCTCTGTGAGGACTTCTGAAGGCGATTCTGTAGGAGTCGTGCCTGCTTCTCTAGTTGTTGAGTAGTATGAGGCGTCTCAGCTGTCCATGTAGCCTCAGCATCTACTGCTGCCCCTGGTGGTGACGGGGTCCTGACTACTGTCAGGTGCGAGAGAACGCGATCTGGACAGGGAGGGATAAGTCCTGTTGCTTGAAAACCACTCTGGATATTCTTCTCTATGAAGACTATCCTGCGTACGCGTGGATAGATAGATAGAAACTCCTCCTTGTCCACATGAAAGACTCCTTGTCGTGCTAGCTCAGTCACCTCACGTCCATATGCAGCCTTGAGTGGCGAGAAACAGCTCACATCTAGAGGCTGCAGTAGATGGCTCGTGTGCGCAGGCATACAGAGGCTGACTATCCTGTGTTCTGCACAGTACTGAGTGAACTCTGGAGTAGCATGACTACTGTGGCCATCTAGGATAAGGAGCCTCCATGAGCCTATAGTACGAGACTCTGTATGCTGATTGAAGTGCTCTAGCCAGGTAAGTCCTAGCTGATCTGTCGTCCAGCCATTGTCGCTGACTGCGAGCTTCCAGCCTGCAGGTAGGTCGTTGTACCAGGTAGATTGATGGACCTTACCAGACAGGATGATGAGGGGTGGGATAGACCAGCCAGACGCGCAGATACACTCAATTGTCATCACCCAGCCTCTATTGCCTAGCTGTACGCGTACAGCTCTACCCACAGTGTCTGCGCTAGTCACTACCTTAGATGAGGAGGATCCTACACCCATCATGAATCCTGTCTCGTCGAAATTGTAGGTATCTTCATCTAGTATGCCATACGTCCTGCGCGTCTCCTCTACGCGCGTATACCATGCAGAGATCTTAATAGGATCCTCACATAGAGCGCGCTGACTGTGTAGCTTCCTATCCCACTTTGTCTGCAGCTCTGGCTGAGTCTTGATGAATCGTGATGCCCACTTCTGGCCTACAGGCGGAGGTGGAGGATCCTGGCCACGCGCGGCGAGTAGATGATCAGCCATCCGTCGTACGTCGATAATCTTGGGTGGAAATCCTCGTTGATCAAGCTCTAGGATCCACTAAACAAGAGACTGCTCCTCGCTAGGGGATAACTTTCGATTGACTGATACTATCTCGCGTTTTGGCTTGACACCATGGAGGCGCGTCTGCAGGGTCGATCGCGGTACATCAAAGGATAGTGCAAGGCGGCGAAGCGATCGAGTAGGATTAGATTGATAGGAGGCAATAGCAAGATCAATCCTGCCTTCTTTTGCAAGCTGTAGAGAGCGTTGTTGCGGCTTCATAATTGATGCAGATGGACGCGTCGCGCGCGGCTTGGTGGGGTGGCCAGCTTACTGATCTGGCCAGCTTACTGATCCAACACGTTAACGTGTTGGATCAGTCAGTGGCCAGGATCAGTCAGTGGCCAGCCCCACCAAAATCGCGACGCGTCTCTACATTCAGCACGCGATAACCTCTACAATGCGCACCCAGCAGCTCCAAAAAGAAGCTAGATTAGCTCTATCAACTCATGCAATTCAAACAAGACAAATTTTAAGTGTTCAAAAGGCTGCAGCCCTCTACAGTGTCCCACGAACGACCCTCCGCCGACGCATTAAAGGCACCCTACCTCAGGCGCAAGCCAACGCCCAGAAACGAAAGCTACACCCTATAGAGGAGCAGGCTCTAGTAGAGTGGATCCTAGGGCTTGACCGACGAGGATTTCCACCCCAGATTATTGACGTACGACGGATGGCTAATCATCTACTCGCTGCGCGTGGCCAGGATCCTCCACCTCAGCCTGTAGGCCAGAAGTGGGTATCGCGCTTTATCAACACCCAGCCAGAGCTGCAGACAAAGTGGGATAGGAAGCTACATAGCCAGCGCGCTCTATGCGAGGATCCTGTTAAGATCTCTGCCTAGTATACGCGTGTAGAGGAGACGCGCCAGACGTACGGCATCCTAGATCAAGATACATGGAATTTTGATGAGACAGGATTTATGATGGGTGTAGGAGGATCAAGCTCAAAGGCAGTAACTAGCGTAGACACTGTGGGTAGAGCTGTACGCGTACAGCCAGGCAATAGGGGCTGGGTCACGACAATTGAGGGCATCTGCGCGTCTGGCTGGTCTATCCCACCATTCATCATCCTGCCTGGTAAGCTCCACCAAGCTGCCTGGTATACAGGCCTACCTGCAGGCTGGATGCTCGCAGTCAGCGACAATGGCTGGACGACAGATCAGCTAGGGCTTGCCTGGCTGGAGCACTTCAATCAACATACAGAGTCTCGTACCTCTGGCACTTACCGGCTCCTTATCCTAGATGGACATAGCAGCCACGCTACACCTGAGTTCGATAGGTACTGCGCAGAACACAAGATAGTCACCCTCTGTATGCCTGCACACACAAGCCATCTGCTACAGCCCTTAGATGTGAGCTGTTTCTCACCACTCAAGGCTGCCTATGGGCATGAGGTTGCTGAGCTTGCCCGCCAAGGTATCTTCCATATCGACAAGGAGGAGTTTCTATCTATCTATCCACGCGTACGCAGGACAGTCTTCACAGAGAAGAACATTAAGAGTGGTTTTCAAGCGACAGGACTCATCCCTCCCTGTCCAGATCGCGTCCTATCAGGCCTGACAGTAGTCAGGACCCCATCACCACCAGGGGCAGCAGCAGATGCTGAGGCTACATGGACTGCTGAGACGCCTCATACTACTCAGCAGCTAGAGAAGCAGGCACAACTTATACGAGATCGCCTTCAGAAATCCTCACAGAGTCCTACAAGCCAGGCTTTCGCCCAGCTTGTTAAGAGTTGTCAGCATGCGATGAACTCAGCGACGATCCTTGCAGAGGAGAATAGGAGGCTACGGGCAACTAATCATCGGCGAAGACAGAGGCAGGACAGGCGCAGACAGTATATCGCTACAGGAGGCGCTCTACAGGCTGAACAAGGCCAAGCTCTAGCTGCTACGGCCCATCTAGCTCTTGCTGAGGCTGCTGAAACTGGGCCTACTACTGCGCGCCAGCGGGCACCACCAACGTGTAGCAAATGCCATGAGCAAGGACACAAGAGAACTCAGTGTAGACAGCAATAGACTATCTTTGTACAAAATTCTATAGAAGATTATCCTATCGTTGTGGAGATATCGCTGTTGAAGTGCCGCACGGCTTGGTGGGGCTGGCCACTGACTGATCCTGGCCACTGACTGATCCAACACGTTAGCAGGTTCCGGAGGGCATCGTAATAGTATGTGTCTACGTTACAAAGTGGGTGTCGCTGTGCGTTGGACCGCGTCTCGAAATAGCGATGTTCCAAGCGCTTGCAGAAGCTAGCGCCGCGACCGTTCGGTACATCGCATGCCCGCTGACTATCACATGAGCCGTATAGGCTTGCTGAACACTGACGCTGTTAAATTACGGCTAGGCCTCTGCTGTACAGTAAGGATGTAGGTCTTTGCTTGGCAGTCCTGCTCGATGAAGCACAGATGAGTGCCGCAACGCAGCCACCTTATCAAGCGTAGTATTCTTCTCGGTATATAAGCATTGCATAGCACTCTACAGGGTAACGACTTTTAGACAGATACACCATATTTTAAGTAGAGGCCGAGGCAGGCCGATGTAGGGGTGTCAAGGATATGAGGAGTGAGATGCTGTATTATAAAGTCGACAGGGAAGTCACGCTAAAGATATCAAGTACATAAGAACCTAAAGAGCCCGAGTATCTATTCCGAGAGTATCTGAACGGTGCGGTCGTCGTCGGTGTTGTTGTGGTAGAAAGTGCTGCTGGTGTTCCGCTACGGTGGTTGTTTTGTTACAATTGGATGGACGGTAGCATGAATATCAGAATGGTACAAACCTGAGCAATACCCTACTGCCATCGACATGGACACTAAAAAAGATGTGGGTTTCTTGGTTAGAGTAATACTCGTCTATCAAGCTTTTATTACTGACAACACTTTACGTAAGATAGCGGAGGGATTATGGGAAAACAGTCAAAAGGCAGCTCTGGACAGTTTGGATGCGGCGGTAGTCGCAAAAATGACGAGAAAGTAAAGACGAGACATCCAGGGGCGATGAATGCTCGCGCCCATAGACGACGCTGGTTGAGTATATAACAGCGACCTGTATCAAATCAGCTCCATAGCTACGTGCCAAGGAAGTTCGTGGTCTCGGGGGTTGATGGCTCGCTTTTCTAGAGATTGTCTTGTTTGGGCGAAGATGCAGCTCACGTTCAACACACGGGTTACATCCGGTCGTCTCGTACATATTCATAGTATCTCCATTGCAATGGCGTTGTCGCTCGAACGATAGAACAATTCGTCCAAACATGTACCTGCCTCCTAAATTGATTATTGGTCTGTTCCTCCAATGCTTATCGTGTAGACCGGATATCAATCTTTCATTTTCCATATTTACGGTCGTACAGCCATAATGAAGGATGCAGGAGCAAAGTGTGAATAGCAAGCAGCGGACAGCGATGCTGGAACCATTAGGCCTGGATGGACGGAGATGGCGAACGACGTTGCGCGACAGTTCCGGAGAGCACGGGTTACGACGAGCGATGCACTGGACTTGCGAGACGAGAAGAAGCGAAGCTATAGCTGGAAGAAAGTTAGCGTTGTAGTTTATTTCTATGGGGGACAAGGCTCGGGATGGATGCCAAAATGCCGAAACGTCGGCATTCATCACTTCTTTGTGTTATATGTTTTCTAATGTCTATTCCGTAGATGAGGAAAACCTACCGTGTGGGAAATTAAACGAGGTACCTCAGCTTCAAGTAGCCACAGTTCCATATAATTGACAGAATAATCGAATTTAGAGTATTGGTCTTGTGCTGTAGCGCTTACACTATTTGGGGAAACGCTTTACACATAAATTATATGCGCGTGGCGTCCTTACAAATGTTGTCTATCCGCTTATAGCAAACTATGGTAATAGACGCTGCTTAAGTTGCACCTAATAAGCCAATAATGCTACATATAATTGGTTATATAGTCTAGTCAGATTTTGAAGCCTTAGTGGATAATAGCGTATCTTATCTAGTTCACAGAAGCGTTGTGTTGACTAGGAAAGCACTCTTCTAGCTACCTACTACCCCACGTCCAACTTTGTAAACTTGCGAAATATGCGCTTTGGGGACCTTGACTTTGCCGCTCTAACCTCTGCAAACTCACCTTGGTCTTTGGGCTGTAGAGACGTAGCTTACAGCGTTTTGAGTCGATCTCTTAGCTGTTTGCACCATTTTGAAGAAAGACTCCCGTTGATCCTGACTCGGAGCGTGTCACGATGCCCACCAGCTCTTGGGACAGCTCCTCCAGCGACGAGACTATCCGCGTTCGCCAACTTTCTCCAGTCCCAGCCATCCACAACGGTCCTGGTCATCGCTTCACTCCAGTCTTTGACCGGATTCATAGCCGCGACGATCACGGAATAAGCGGTGCTGCGGCACTCGATGCCACTGATATGGCAGGTGTCAACTTCAAGCACGTTGACCGGAACAAATATATGATGAACCTCGCGCGCAATGAGGTCGATATCCTGACTGAGAAGGGCGACCGCCAAACGGCCAAAGCCACACTTGTGAACCACGCAACCATTGAACCTCCACGATGCATCTTTCGTTGAGATTGTAAATCGAAGCAAATTAGCATGGAGTAAAAGTAGCCGCAATCATTGGTCCGTAGGCGTTAGAGTCGAACGCCAGGGAAGTAGAGAACTTCCTCGATAACGTCGCCAAGGAGCTTGAGCATGAGCAAAAGCGCAGGGCCAAGTCGAATACCGGCGACCACAATGATGGCGAGCGCCGTATCCGCAGCGACCGCCACTAAGGCAGGGAGTAGAAATTTTCTCCAAACAACAAGGGCGTGTGCGGCCATATTCTTCCGAATCATCTGTCGTAAGCCCGGCTGCGGCACCGCGGTGCTAAACAGTGGTCCTCAGACATATAGCAAGTATGCGGTCCAAAGTGTTCAGTCACAGCCTGCTACGTAGCAAGAGCAAGATCAAGAACGGTGTTGTAATCTGCAGGACTGGGTTGCACAGGGCTTCGCTAAGAAGGCTGGCGACGTCACGGAAGTGGTCAAGTCGTTGTAGGTTCTTGCACCGTCTGGATCAATCATACCCATGGTACTTGAAGAGAAGCCCTCGCTCTTGCAGTCGAGGCGACAGATACATACGTTGATGCAAAGGTGGCGGCCATGCAGGCAAAGCTAGAAGATTCAGGTTCGTCAGACGAAGGAAACCCCAGATCAAGAGCAAGGGCAAGTGAAAGCAGTGTAGCAAATAGAAAGAGTCTCAGTTTAATAGGGGAAGGAGCATCTTACAAGGATGCCGCACACGTTGGGCGAAGCGACCGCAGCAGTTCTGGCGGTTTCAGGCGGAGGAGGTGCCTCGATGGAGGCTAGAATCAGGCAGAACCGGCAGTATCACCACACAAGAACCTGATTTGCAAGATTGAAAAGGATAAACCGCGTGTTTGGCTTTTTCAAGAACAGCGAAATCGTGAGGTGGAAGCTGCAGGACCACACAGCTCATGAGGAGGGTATGCTCGCGTGGAAGAATGCTGCATGAGATCGAGTTTTGGAGCAGAGGAGCTCGAGCATGCGGCCGATGTACTCCAACCTAACCCGCAAAGTTGTCATCGTATACCTTTTGTAAACCCTTTCTTAGAGCTGTAGCGGGCACACAGTTATACTGGTAACCCATTGATCCATACCTATACTACTAAATACGTAGTATATTGATCAAAATACCTAGTTCCGCTGCGTGAGTGATGTGTGTTAGTTTCATCGGTGTCAAGACCTGCTATGGCAGGTAAAATCAAGGCAACCCTGTCCCGCTGTAAAAGCCAAAGATCACGGTCCGAGGCTCAATAATAATTACTCAAGCTCAGTGGGCGAGCGATCCTTACGGGCCTAAGTCGCTCGGTGTCGCGATCTGCTCTGGGGGGCGACATGAATGCTTGCAGGCCTCTCTGTGAGTACAAACAGAGCAAGCCCACAATCTGGAGAGTGTCTTTGACTACTAATTATCACCTATATATGCTCATATTGCCCTTGAGCGGTGAAAGAGCAGGGTGGCATCTACGGAGGGCAAAAATTAGCAAAAAAGGAAGCCTGTCCGGTTGGGTATGTTACGCCCAGGCGTTGGAAACCCACTCGGCGGGAGTTAGGTTCGAACTGTTGCCGTGTATGTACCCCTATGACCACTAGTTAGTATCTGCTTTTACCGTTCCACACCCCACAGCGCTTAAATGGCAGATGACGCTACCATTCAGCCACCGTGGAGTGTGGAACGGAGAAGACTCCGACAAGAAAATATATAATACCGTAGAGACGTTGTAGATCTCTGTATTTCGGAACTGTAGATTGTGGGCTGAGGCAAACGGGTATTGGTGAGGGACATGGCTGCCATTGAAAGGGAAGTCGCGGGCTCTTCGAATCTCACCTCAACACCACACTCCACGGCCGAAAACCCCGCACAACCCCGCCTACAACATCAAGACAGCCCCCGAGATGGTCTTTTTCATAGTCGGCGTCATGTTCTACCTTCCGCCTCGGCTGCCTATGGCTCGGCGCGCTCCGCGAGTCTGTCGGCGGCGAGTACCTCGACGGCAACCACTAGGATAACAATCGTGGCCTTGCGCAAGCTCTGGCTCTCGGCATAACTGTGATCCTCTAAGTCGTTGTCGCAATGTTTTACGTCGTTGTTCAGATCTACATGTCTGCCATCGGCGTGCGCGTGAACCTCTACGGTACCCTGGTGGGCGTCGATATTGTTCTCTACAACATCGCATTCGCCATCGGTGTCAAGCTGCTCGTCAACTTCGACTGCACCCATCGATTTAGCCTTCAAGATGTCCAATATGCTAGTAAGCATGTACGTGGTGGTCAGCCTCTTGATCGACACCCGCCAGATGTTCATTTTCGTCATCAACCGGACTCTCCGCGGCAACATCGTGGGCAGCGAGCCGCGCCGAGGCCCCCTCGTTGGGCGTGTACTTGCTCCTCTACGACTTCCTGGCAGATTGAGTTTCGTTATCCGCGAACTCGGTTTCTACTTCTTCGTTACGAGGCTCGGCGACATCTTCCTGGTCTTCGCCACGAGCGGCTCATTCCTTAAATCTTCGTCTTCGACTTGAATCTCGACCGCTATACCCGCATCGTATTCGCCGAGTACCTCCTCCTCGAGGTATTATTTGACGTGATTGCCGAAGAGCATCGATACGACTCCTTGTGATACGAGCAACACAATGCCCCTGGGGTTAATGTTGGTATAAAAGAACCTAGGGAGAAGACATCTGGCGCACGGAAAGGTCTATATGGGGCTGCTGAAGGGATGGCAGTCCGCTCCGCTGGGGAGCTCGTGGTGAAGCGCATTTAGTGTTGCAGACGTACGGCCCATCTTGAATACAAACTAAAATCCAAGTGCTTCCTGTGCCATGCCGGTGAAATGCATGACGTGATATAACTTGAGAAGCCTCTTATCATGCCGAACATTTAGATAACATGCTTGCTGAAATAGAAAACATGCATGGTCGGAGGAGTATCATCAAGGTGCATTTCAAGGATTCAGGAAATCCTTGCGCGGCGGAATTGCCTACAGCACCCAAAGCATGATGTCCACGTTTCAAAGCAAGCGGAGCGCAAGCATTCTAACCGCAGCAGCCAAAACGGGACTTAGTGAATGCTCGCACCGCCTCTCGGGAGGGCCCAAACAAATGCATGGCTGCATCATCACTGTTCCGCAGCCCGCTTCTCGCTGAAGCAGCGAAATAGCGCTTTTGGAAAAGGTCCTGTGCTTGCTGTGTGCGGATATCTCTTGGCGCAAACACGTGTGGGGCGGCGAGCGTAGCCAGCCATCCCACTCTCCCAACCGCCGCGACACCACTGCGTCTGAGGAAGCAATTCGAGACACAGCCGGAGAGGCAAAGACGCGACCAGACTCAGGGTTCCGCTAACAATTGGGTAAAGCTCCGGACGTCGGAAACACACCCGGTTGACCAGCACCACGCCCGACACTATGGCCGACTATGCGGAGAACATCGACCTCAACGTTAAGAACGACAACAGTCTCATCGACCTCTTTCTTCTCGTCATCATCATGAATAACTTCTTCGCCGGGTTACAGCGTGTTTGAAGAATGAGCCCGCCGCAAGAAGCCGTGGTTGTGCATCATACTCTACAGGTTCCTCGTCGTAGTCTCGTCATGGCCCAAGAACCTGCGCGCCCGCAAAAAGCCGCGCAAACCTCTGGCAGCCTGAAAAAAAATACGCATGGCACACACGAGCGCGGTAGGCGGAAGTGCGACTTCTGTGCCAAAAAAAAGGGATACTATTTGCGGCGTGTGCCAAGCGAAATTCGAGAGGCATGAGCTGACCTGGACGTGGAGCATCTTCGAGTTGCAGCCGCGTGTGTACCATTGGCTTCAAGTCGTTGTGTCCGCCTTGAAGTCTTTGTGTGATGGGGTCCGGAAGCTGCCACAGAAGCAAGAGCCGGCGGAGAGTGGACATGACGACAAGAGTATGAGCGCGGAGGGTGGGCAAGGCCACAAGCCTACGGGAGTCGAAAGGGAGAGGGCGCGCTAGCAGAGGAAGAAGCTTAGGAGAGCGGCAAAGGCTAGAGCGGAGCAAGAGGTCAAGTAGGAGAGGTCTGTATGTTGGATTGAGTCCCGGTGATGATGAGGAGCGAGCATGTCGGAGACCTCCGGGCCGTGGGGGTTTGAGTGCCCATAGGCATGATACTGTACGAGCGTCATAATGCAGGAAACGAGGCCTCTATTTTCCCTCCCAGACGCAGGCTTTCGTAGAGGTGACAGTGATGGAACAATATACTTCGACTCGCCTTCATGGATTCTGAACGAGAAGCTTCGGTGCAGAACGGATACGCTGAGTACCCTTCGAAATTGCAAAGTTGCCTCAATAGCAAAGTGCCCTTTGCAGAAATGGCACAAGCTTTGACATAGAGATCAAGGCCATGGAAAAGCATTCAGGAGAATGACCGCTAGAGTCGACCCAAGCGTCTCCCTTGATGTTGATATATGTTGGATCCATCCTTCTTAATGGCCAGAAGGCCGGAAATCCCTCATCTTGAGTTGACTTTTAGGATGTAACCAGCTTGAGGCCGCGCGCCAGTATAATTGCCGGTTTCTCGACGGTCAGATGGCTCCCATGAGGTGTTTATTGGTCATGGATCTACGAGTATCGCAATTGCCATGCCGAACCGCATGCATCGTGCTTGCCTAATATAGCAGCTTCGGCAGCAACCCGAGAAACTCCTACCGCGGAATGACTTGTAAGATGCACCGAGATCAAAGCTGTCCTTCAGTGCGATTGCCAGACTCTCGGCGATAATGGCGTAGCTACATGGGCAGATCCTATCGCCTACTCGAGAAGCCGAGACTGGTGATTGTTTTGGCTATCCATTGGCATCGCGGCAGCAAACAAGGAAGGCTTTGCCTCACAATACAACATAGCAAAAGCCGGGAAAGGCCAATCGTCTCCAGAGCCTCGAGGATCCGCCGCGAAAGCGACCTAAAAGAGTTCTAGGTCGACACAGGCCGTGCTGCCTGTTATGACATCTACGCATGTAACCCCAGTGCCAAAAAAAAAGGCTGCAAAAAAGAAGCCTGATTCGGTGGGTATGTTACGCCCAGGCGATAGAACAGCGCCGACAACTGCGGTGTTCGAACTGCCGCCCTATACACTAGTTAGCAATCGCCTCCAGGTGTGCAGCCACGGCACCAAATGGCAGATGACGCTACCATTCAGCCACCGTGACTGCACATTGGCGATTGCCAAAAGTAAGATATATATGGTCGTCCGGAAAAGGATTTCGGGGGTTTCCATGGCGTCAATGTGGCGTGTGGGCTTTCTCGAGGTGGTGATTTACGCATGTTTGCCGAATATTGCAAGGCCCTTCATGTGGCAGACTCTCACTTCGCCCGTCACAAACGGCCTACGAGCTGCGGGGCGCCCGGCATTAATGCAGCGCGCCTTGCATAGCTGCTTCGCCATACACTTGGCCAAAGTAGGCGGCGTTGCTCTTTCCAAGGCGTTCGGGGGGGGGTTTGCCTTCGAGGCGTCTAAGAAACCCTCGCCCATTCGGGCACGCCCGCAAGTTCATACAATAGCACCTATGCAAGCTGCCGTGTGGCTTCTTCTGCTTGCTATACTCTTCACTTTGTGCCTGGGTCGACGTTGGCGCGTCGAGGTCGAGGTCCCCAGCCCCACTACCCTCACCCACAACGCCATCCCCTTCACACCAGTCTTCCACAATCTACACCGCGCAACGCCCGCAGGTCAGCCTCTCGCTGCCAAGGCGGCTGCGAGGGTGGTGAGCTTCGCGAACAGCTGCTCACACTGCGTTTGGTTCGATGGCGGCTGCTTGGAGCGGTTCCATGGACGTCGCCGCGTCGATCATTTGCCTCTACGACGACCTGCCCCCTCACCACCACCATCCGCCTAGTGACCCCTCGAGAGAGGGCATGGAGGCTACGCAAAGCTACGCGTGGTGTCGACAAGCAACGGCAACGTTCGATTCGACCTCGACCTCGACCGACTTGTCGTAGGCCGCGAGTCCCGGCGGTGGGGTGCACGCCATACTCTTGCCCCGCAGCTTGGGGGGTCGCCAACACCAACGAAAAATTCTCCATCCACTCCAAGCAACGTTTTGCGAAATCAGGTACGTTGCAAGAGGCAAATGGCTCTGGGTGACCGTCTAACGTGGCATAGAACCCAACCGAAGCGGCGAATTTTCGAGAACATCGACGCTGCAACTGCCCCAAAACCGAGAACTGGAGATCCTGTCACGCATGGCAGAAGTACACAACAGCCGTTTGAATGGACAATCGGCCTCCGTTGAGGGTAGGCGGCGCTCTTACGGCAAGGTGTTCCCGCCACTACCGAAACATATCTCTTGCGACACCGACATTGTCAATCTTTGAAGCTGCCTTTCCAACGCGCATCGCTTTCGATAAACATTTTGCAAACAAGAGAGTCGAATCACTACATCCCTGTCAGCATATGAGCGACCAAAGCCTTGAGACTCCTCATAACCTTCATCCATGGCTCAGACCTAGAGGTTATCGCACAACAAGATCCGCGGGTGCTTCCCCGGGCTCTCTGTTACGCAGTATCTATTCGAGGTCATGGATGACCCAGTCATCATCGCCGACGTTCTATCCGGGTGCGAATAAGAAAATCGAATACTTACGCTCTGCCACGAGAGCAAGCCTTGATATTTGAATCCGCTAGACCTTGACATCCTACATTGCTCAGCATTCCGCGGTTAAACGGGCAATAACTCGTAGGATGTCTCAGGCGAAACCATAAGGACTTCGAGTCATCTTCTTTTGATCTTTCTATCTCCCAGCTGTTCGTCAACAGCTGGCCAATCTCATTCATTTGTCGCGACCTGAACAACTCTTCAACCTGGCCCCTGTCAGTCACGGAATTGTTCCGTTCGCGTAGGTATGTTTTCAAGTCGGGGCCCACGATAATCTTCAATCGGACTGGTCGAAGTTCACTCCAAGATGATGAACCATTGCCCCAAGAGTAACATGTCGAATTGGGGTCGTTTCAAGACAATACTTCCGGAAACTTCCCCCAGCAATATGTCCAGAACGGAATTTTGGGCGCTGAAAACGAGCCAGGTGCCTGTGCAATGGACGGCGACCAAGGCTTATCTACGCCATTTACAGAAACTCTCCGCTTTGGATATGGACCTGTCTGAGGGCGTAGCGGGAATCTTGGAGAGACCGATCCGCCGGCGTATGGTGTCATATCTGGCGGCCTTTGTCAAGCCGGTTCGCAACTGCGCCATTTGGTATGAAGCCGTTCTTCGTCGACTTCGCCAAGAACCTTCGCGATGACGCTGTATGATCGACGAGCAAAACAAACTCTTTCACATCGGAGCGTCCGCGCGGAATTTTCAAGGATGCAATCTCTGATAACGGGGTTAGACCATCCCATATTGCTTCCCCCCTCTGTTCTAATGGGGAGAATGATACGGACGGCGAGCTCACGCAAGAAGCATCGATTTGGTATTAGCCGTGTGCCAAACACCGCTCCGATCCGCATTCCGATCCTTGGAGCACCTTTCCAAATTGTGCCTTCGTACCTTTGAAGAGCATGGGCCTTATTCTTGATCATGGCCAAAGTGCCAGAGTCAACTGACGTGGATGTCAATTGGAGTCCGGAGAAAATAGGGATTGGTTCGAGGAGATCAGTTCGAAATTATTGGACCTGGGCTACGAAACGCCCGCCCGGGCGTCCGTCGACATGGTCCCTAGCCTCAGTCTTCGAACCTACAATCGACTCGCAAGCCAGAGCATCGTCATAGCAAAGATATCGGAGCTACAATGCCTCTTGCAAAATGCCTGGTCTGCGTTCTCGAGGGTAGCTGGGTCGACGACCGCCAATGCTTGCTCATCTACTATTGCAAGAGCGAGGCCGAATCTTCCACCCGCCTGGCTGGTGAGTGCACGAACTAGATCAACGATGCCCGGATCCGATATTTCGCCAGTCGGCTGAGAGTCAAGCACCGTAGGTCTTTCTGATAACTCGGACTAGGAAATTGTCGCTGGGAGGAAGGCAATTCCAAAAACGGTCGTTTCTGCGTCGCAGCGTTCGCAGATAGATACAATCAAAAACCCTGGCTCAGAACTGTATGCCCCGGAGAAAGACGGCTCGTTTGAGGCCTTCAATCAACGATCTCTCAACCCGGTGATCGAGAGGTACTGAAAATAATTTGCTTGCTCCTCTATGTGCAGCTGCAGCCCTCAGACAGATACATGTCGCCGTTTCTCCTGCATGCAGGACGTCACATTTCTGCCGCACTTATAGCTCTAGTACAACAAGAAGCTGTGGGTCCGGGAATGGTCCTGGTGCATCGTTCAGATGGAGTCACACCACTCGTTCTGTTCACGTAAATATGTCCCGAAGATAGGACGGCCTGCTTAGTGTCCACCTAGGCACACTTCGCCAAGCTGAGCTGAAGAATATCCGCCTGCTGTGCACTAGAGCTGACGATTATCCATGGAGGTCTATCGTTTTGTCTTCGAGAGGAAATGATTGCGCCGAGACTCCCGCATGAGATACCAGACTGGTGGGTGAGTGATGAACGTGCTTCGGATGACTGGATCGACCCACATGCCGCTCCCAATTATAACGCCAACATTGTCTACTACGAAGCGTAGGACGATTCCAGTGACGACGACAGCGTCACAGAGCTTGACCATGCACGGAACATGCCACACAAGGTCGGCAATGAGACTCCGAGCATTGATTTTATCGATTCCTGCCTCCTGTGCCCACAAGTCGAGATGCAGGCTCAAGCCGCAGGTGTCCCAATCCCGCCGGATCATATGGCATTTCAAATGGAGTCACACGATGGGTCCCATTGCCGGCGCTGGCCGCGGCGATTTGCAAGACTCTAGGCAATTTCCAGAGGGCCACGGCAAACTGTCTCCCAGTGGGGACGCGGACGTCCAGTTCACTGGCCACGCGACCATAAAGGATGAGCTGCAAAACTCATCAAGTATCTCTGATGCCTGTCCACCGGTCCTCGTCTGGACATCACTCAAAAGCTGGCAAACGCCTTTGGAGATGGTCGCCGACGGCCCTGCCTCCAAAACCTACTGCGTTCAGGTTGATAACCTCCCTGGACAGCCTTTCCAATACAAGGTTCGGGTTGGTAACCGTCGGGTCCTCGACGACCATATTGGCCTGCGCAGACGAAGCAATCATGAATGCGGTCTAGAAGATAGCCAGCCTGAAGTCACTGATGATTGCCGATTCCCTATAGTGACGTGCCGCCCCCATGGGGTATCAACCAAATCAACCAGCTTGCTACGTTCAAACGTGGCAGTGCGGTCGTGACAGAGCATAAAAGTACCTCGCTGGTTATCCCGGGATGCCGGCTCTTAGCGGAGCGGCGCAATGCTGAACTTTGGCGTTGGTAACGACGGCGGCGACCCATTCGCAAAGTCGTTTTGGATAGTGGACAGAGTACAACAACCAGGATGATATCAAGGTGTGGCCCAATCGGATGATGGCTCTTGAAGCTTGCCTTATTTGCATTGGTTGCTCGAACTTCCGACTCGAGGTGGAATGAATTGGCGGCGTGAAAGCGCCTGACTCGCTCGTCGACTCCCCCAGCAACGATATCGACCAGAAGACATCTGCTCGAGGATGTCATAGCTCGACTGCCATGGAAGAGAAACGTCTTGAACAAAAGTCTGGCTGTCGATCCATGGAAGAACGAAGGGTCGGCCGGCTCCATCCATGGTGCGGTCACCTCGTCGTTTCTGGCTCCTGTCTCGTCTCCTCAACGCGCGACGGCATGAGACTTGTATCATGCGAGTACATTGCGACTCGAGAGAAGCGCCACGGCGTCATGATTGCTTTCGAGCTCACGGGTGATGCGCAGAGACTCCTGGTAGGTCAGGATTCTGTCCAGATATAGCTCGTCGGTTGAGCGAGGCGCTGGCATTTGATACAATTTTCGAGACGACGGTTGGCGAGGGAGCTTGAGAATGAGTGACTGGCACGGCCGCGGTCTGGCCCGCGAATCTGGGTGTAAAGTAAATGTCAAGAGAACATTTTATTGATCCAGGTCAAAGCCTACAAGCTACACCTAAAAAGCCAGGGAAGCCGTTATCGTTAGTGATCACCTTCAAGGATTGGGGCGAGGACCGCTGGCGAACAGAATAGTCCACCTTCCCCAAGCGGACCACAATCTTGCGCTTCTCCTAGTATACGGCGTGCCAGCTCCAAGCGGGAGTCCCATCATGAGTGCTCCGGCCGGTTGTTGCTGTCCGTTGCGAGGCGCTGAAAGATCTGGAGATACATCTGGTGCAAGCCCACCCTGGACGCACAGACTTTGAGCATAGCAGACCTTGCTAAAGTTCCCGCGGCTTTGTTTGACTCGTTCGAGGGGTTTCGGCTGTTGATCTGGTGGTGCCGTCGCGGTCGCAGTCGCGGTTGCTCGTGGTCCCGCCGGCGGACTCTCATGCACTGGACATACCGCTGCTGAAGTTATCATGAGACAACCTGGCAAGGTCAGGATTGGGAGGTGCAAATCGAACGGCGAACGAGCGCGGTCGTGGTCGCAGTCGCGATTACTCGGGGGTACTGCCGGCGATAGGTTTTCCACGCCTTACACACGCCGCTGTTGGGATAGATAACAAACAAGCCCAGAGAACGAAGATCAGGATTGCGGCGCAGATGCCAGAGAAATGCGTTATTGTGGTTGCAGCGAGAGAAGTCGCGGTGCAAAGAGAAATTGCGGCTGTCGGAGGAGCAAGGACCAAGTCGAGGAGGGAGAAGCTGCAAACGAGGCACAGAAGCTTCCACTTTCAGCTGTTGAGCAAGAGCGCGCCGAAGAGGGTCGTGTAAAATTGTGGAGTTGATGAAACGGGTGATGGGGTGGGGGAGGAAGAAGAGAGCGCGCGAAAAATTGAGGCCCCTCCCCAAATGCTGGTACCCTCACCAATGACTCTAGCCTGAGGCGCCATGGCTAACTGGCAAAGCATCATCAGCACCACGCAAAAGCTTCTACGGCCTTGTGGAATGGCTTCGCTACATCAGGTGAGATGACATGGCTGGGGAAGAGGAAGAGTGCGCGCGAGGGTACCTGCAGGAAGATCGACGGCGCGAGGATGCATTCGGACCGACTCCCCGCACCGGCAGCCCATGTGAGCAGCACCAGCACGGCTGGATCTTTCAAGCTACAGTTCACCATCCGTGGGTCAAACCCTCGGGCAAAGGGCCGCGATGGATCTTATACCGCTCCCACCGCATCCTCAACCACGCGCTCCATTCCACCTTCCATAGGTAGGTGCCTCCACCGTGTTCTCCGCGGAGAATACGCTGACCCATGCAAACAGAAACCCTCCGTATGTTCACAGCAAGAACCAATAGCTAGCCTCCATACATCAATTCACCGTTTACACCTTCACTCAAAGTTCTTCTACTGGCCCAAATGTGCTGCTACATTTGTATTTTACCACACTCCTGTTGCCTTGCGCGCCGTCGCCGCCCCAAATGCCTAGCCCAGCCGTTCTTTCCCTGTGTGACTTTATTTCCACGTCTGCTTTTGCGCTGCTGGACCTCAACCACACAGGACCTGCTACACCACCGACTTTTACTTTTCTATTTTTTCACGCTTGGCGCCCGCGTCACGCACGATACTTCTGTTGGCGTGCGAGCAAGATCAGGGGCTTGCGCGGCGCTGCCATGCTTCGCTCGCGGCTTCTCCATCTATACCAGTCGTGCTATCCTGCGTGCTAATGTGGTTGCGCGAGCCTGACGTCTAGATGTACAAGTCAACCAATATACTTCCCGCCTCTTCGGAAGCAGCAGAGTATCTACCTGTTGTTTCTTCCTTTCCTTCGCCCTCCTTATCTCCAGCTCGTTGCTCGAGGCGCGCGTACGCCCGCGCCTATGATAGACCAAAGAACCTGCTTGGCTGAGAAAGTATGGTGGAGCAACGTCTCAAGAGAGACGCATGCATTGCTTTCTGCCCTAAAGCACCTTGTTCATCCTCAATCTCTCCTTCACCCGACTCCGGCCGAAGGAGATGGAGAGCTCCTCGCGCATGCTCATGCTCTCTAAACCTTCTGCATAATATCCTCTAATATCCACAGGCAACAGTCCCTCCTTTCACAGTTCCATTCGCCGTCGGCTGGTGCTCCTGCTTCGTCCCTTCCAGCCCAGTCCACTTTTCAGGGAATTCGAGCCTTCAATTCTCCCACGCACCCGATACGTTGCTATACAAGCGCGAGATCCTTACAACGCTGTTCGGATTACTACCAGAGCTCATGTCAGGCACTGTCTGAGGAAACCCCAGTGCTAAAAGCCACATACCCGGAAGAAGTTACTGCGCTTGGCCCGTCACGACACAGCATCTCAGGGGAAGCAACGCCCTAAGTCATCGAGCCTACAGGTAAGGCCAAGAAAGAGATGGTCTTGGAAAATGAGTTTCGCGACGCATGGCAGCTTGAGTCGGTCCGAATCACTACGCGTCGCACAGGCTTGAAGGCGAGTACCCAGGTTCACTGTTGCTACGTGAAGCCACGTCTTTGCGACTCCCGTGTCCCGAGGATCTTCATCCAAAAAGAATGGGCAAACCCCAAACACCCATGCTTGGTATGTCCAGGAAACAACACTTCCACAATACCTTCACCCCCCGACTCCATTAGGAGATAGCATTGAGCCTCGACAGCTCCCATTGAAAGCTGGCAGAAGGTAAAGATATGGTCACTGGTCTGGCAAACCTCAGAAAGCGCTTAGTAATATCACTGCCAGGGCCAGAGAAGGCACAGACTCCCGACATTGCGATGAACACCACTCCAAAACCTCCTCGTGAGGCGAATCTTGGATTGGAGGCCCTTGCATCACAATGTTTGCGGAGAAAATATGCCAAGAATCTGAGAGCAGCCTGTTGCAAAATTATTTTGCCACGCGGAAGACTTACTGGCTTCACATTGAGTGGGCATCACTCATGGTTACGCCCAGTACACTCCTCATCCTTCTCCAGATGTCCCGCAGCATTTATGCCATTCATACATATGAGATCGAATGGTAAGAGGCTCGCTCGTCTCGTTCTCTGACTTCGATGTTTTAGTCGCAACGCTAGGTAAGACCACTCACTGGGTTCCACATCGGCTCGCAATTTCCAAGTTGTTGTGGTGACCCTTTCACTTCTCGCACACCTTCCTCCCACAGTCACTTCCACTCGCTTGAACTTTACCTTATGTGGCATCTTGTCGCTTTGAAGCTTTCTCATCTTCAAATTTCTCCTTTAAGCTGCGCATCTTTTCGTCTCTAATTCCATTGTACCCATCCACTCAACGAGAACCTCCAGGTCCCACTGCGCAGGAGCTTCGCCAAACTACACAGCCTGTGCGGCCATCCATTTCCACTTCCTTTGACGGACTACAGGGCACAATAAAGATCAGCCATGCGATCACAGCATTTGGCATTGATGCAATTCAAATGCAATCCCGACAAAATGTCCCCTCCGGTCTGACTTCCGCTGCCATTGATGATGTTTCTCGCATCCGATTTCTTCTCCTGCATAGAATTCTGGTCAAGCAGCATCAGGCCGCAAGATACGAGGAACTTACTGGACGTCAAAAATATACAGGCTGTCAACACTGCGTTACATCCCCCGAGAGTGCGAAACCGCCTTCACGAGAATATAGAAGGCCGCTGTCGGCCTTCCTCGCCCATTTCCGAACGATCCTGAGCAAATGGTAACTGTACCTCGTTTCTTGAGTGAACGACTGTACACAAGGACGCAGCATCACAGTGCTGTCGTCACTAACCCGCGCTTCAAAGCAATTTTTGGAACAGTCATCTTAAGACTTTTCGTGCAACGAGAGTGCTCCCCAACTTCTACCTTCGGCTGCACAAATTAATATGTACGAACGCAGTTACCTCTTGAATAGAAGAAAAATCTTGTCAGCACTAGGAACGTGGCATCACCGTCGCTCCAAAGGCGTGTGATCACGTTCTCAGTCTCAACCTGTCCATCCTTTCGTCAAAGGCGGGGCTAGTCAATCGACCATTGCGTTGAGCTCTATACGCCATCGTCGAGGGCGTTTCCCTGATTTAGACAGCCTCCGCAGCTCTCTCAGCTTCCGGTATCCCTAATTGGGCACACTACGACGCTCGAGAGTATCTGCCTATTCCTGCACGCTGCTCTCACCTCCATCGCCGGTGCGAACGATCGCTGCCGACGACAAGACGACATCGCTTGCCAACACAATCTCGCCTACGAAGTTGCAAAGCTCGTGCTAGCTTCCCGGCGGTCGTCAACCTTCCTGCAGAGCGCTCATTTATCGTTCACCTGAGGTTTTGGCAGCTCTCGGTCAATCTGGCCGGCCGGTCACCCGCTCGAGGCGTTTGCAGCAGTACTGACTACCAGAAGTTTGAACTTCAGTCACGTTGAAAAGCTGCAGACGGTCTAGCGGCTCAGGTATGTATAAATGGACCCCCACCTTCAGTTACAGGGCGCTCTTGCTGATGACATAGATTTTCAAAAGCTTCACACTCTCTGGTACGTCAACAAAACTTCGATTAGGTGGCGGCGCATCGCAACGTACGGTAGACGTGCGTCTGCCTTCGCACAGTCGCGTCGCATACTCCGTTTCTGCGTACTTCTACGATTCCTCTACCCTGGCCCCACACCTTCCTCCCCCACCACTCTCTAATCCAGCAGCAGAAAGGTGTCGTCGTTCCACTCTCTGCCTCCGAAGCTTCGGCGCTGTTTCGGTCTCCTTGAAAACGCAACGGGTATAACGTTACTTCCACGGTATGCTCAACAAGCGCATCATCTTCGAGGCTCTACTAACCGCGCTCCAGCTACAACCCTTCTTTGACCGCACTTCGCGCTCTGAAACAAGCACTCAACACCTTGTCCCCCGTATCCGACAAAGCTTGCAACTTACTCGTCCCCCGTCAATAGTCGCGCGTAGAACGGTGCTGTGTCCGGACTGGCACAAATATACAGCTCTGGAGCTGGCACTATGGGCGGCTTCGGTCACCAGCACACACGCTGGTCTGGTAGCCAGCGCGCTATAAGTGTGATGCCGCAGAGCGGCGGTGGGCTCTACGGTAAGTTAATAAGCATGCTTTCATGGGCCTTCGCTGATTTGAAATGCTTCAATAGAAAGCCAGCTCCCGCCTCAGACGGTGGACAACTCAGCCTCGTACACTCAGCAATGCTTCCCCAACGAGCAGACGAGCAACCCGTATACCTCCGCTCCGGGCGGTTACGGCCAGCAACATTCTCCCGATGTGCAGCTGAACAACCCCTACTTCACGATCTATGGCGAAAATGGCGGCATACAAACGGGCGGCCAAGACAGATTCGGCTTCAGCTCAGAATCTAGCGCTTCTACGACTCAGCATCAGCAGCATAACTTCCTGGAGGAGCACGTTGTTGACCTAGCTCAGCATGCAAGGACCTCAGACGCGCAGCGCGGTCAGCACATGGACAGCTCCTTTGTTACGAACCCAGATGCGAACCCGTTCGCTGGTCGTGCACCACATACATCCTCCTACGACACGCAGGGCGGCGGCTCTCACCAGTACGCCATCAACTCAGGCGCTGGGCGCGGCATGCAGAAAGGCGGTTCATTTGCCATGAGACCGGGCGCAAACCAATTCACACAGTTCGGCAGCCAGACCCCCGACGCAAACATGAGCGGTCAATATGCCGGTTCTTCAAACGAGTACGAGAACTCGCATGTTGCTCAGCAGCTCACTCCCTATGTGCAGACGAATTACCGGGATGCGATTGACTTTGGCTCAAACTCGCTCTCGAGCCACAACAATATCACTAACTCCGAAGCCTACACAAACGATCAGTCATCAGCTATCTCAGAAGTTCCCATCAAGCGCGAACATTCCGATGATGAGTATGTTCCTGGCGACGTTGCCATCGATGATGCTGTCGACGAGGATACCTCCCAGCAGCCAGGCAAGAAGCGGAAGATCAACAAGAATGGTCGAGTGCGCAAAGTTCGGGAACCACGAGGCCACCTCCGACGGTGGGATGAGAGCGACGTATCGCGTGCTCTCATGGGCATTGTTTGGGCCTGCGGTGAGAATGGTGTGGTGATCCCATTTGCACAAGCAGCCAAGATCGTGGATCAAGACTGCACATCAGGCGCTCTCCAACAGGCTATTCTCAAGATGCACGACAAGATGAATAGAGACGGCGCGCAGCTACCCAGGATCAAGATGAATTGGCCCAAGAAGCCCAGCGCTGCTGGAAAATCTATCATCCGAGACAATGGGAAGGTACCTCGCAAGAAGCCTACATTGACCCAGGCTACCCAATGCACTATCGTAAGCCTTCCAGCCCAGCCGCGCGACACTATCTCAGCTGCTGGTGAAGCACCTCAACAAGACCTCGTTCTCCCTATGGACGTGTCATATTCCGGTCAATCTGCTTCCGCCGATGTCAGACATGAGCGGGCCGATGAGATGCCATCCTCACCGCGACAGCTCTCGGACCTGCCGCCCTCTACACCTGCGCAGCATCACGGCTCCCCCATATGTCCGCCGGCGCCACGTCATCCCACGGTGCCTCGTCGCGTAGTGGTGGACGCTTCAACCGGCGGTGCTGCAATGCCCAATCGGCGCTTTCTTCTAAACGACGCTTCATCGTCTTCTTCCAACTTTGCCCAGCAACGCGCTACCGGCTTGAACCTCCAACAGGGTCTGAGCTCGCCTGAGGGTCTACGAGACCGGCACCTTCAACAGGGCCGCGTCAACACCACTCAGCTGGGACCGCTTGCTGCCTTCAATGCGGAATTCGAACAGCACAGCACTTCAGCTAGCCTCGCACAGCTATCTGCTTCGTCGAACATGGGTCTTGATATGGCCACGCCGCGCAACGCTACTTCCTCAGACGACATCAAGATGCTCCATTCGCCCATGAGCGGAGGCTCTCAAGCTGATGATAACCCCCAAGATGTTAGCAAGTTTCATGACATGCAGTCCTCGTTCTTTATGGGCGAACTTTTCCCGCCATCAGGCTCTTCCTCTATCAATGACCTGTCTCCCGGACTTCGCCCTCCATTTACTCCTGGAAGGAGAGATTCGGCCTTTGGATCGAGCGCCCAGTCCGCCAGCTCGAGCCAGGGTTCAACCGGTCATATGAATCGCTCCACTCGGGATGCACAACACGCGTTTCAGAGTCGCATGGAAGCTGCTGCTGCGGAACGTCCCATGACGTCGATGCCCTCTCGGACCAAGCGTACGTACTACTCACTCCAGCAACCTCGGCAACAGCTGTCCCTCGGCCTCGACACGTTGAGCAATCCTTTCGGTGGCACTTTTGGCGATGCCTCCGGTGGTCCTTTCCCTCCCACCCATCCCTCTGGCGGAGACATCGACGATCCTTTCGGGCTTCCGAGCACCACCGATGAAGTTACGGATTTCGAGAGCATGTGAGCTTTTGATAGCTTACAGCGACGCTGTCTACCTCAACTCTTGGTTATCGTCTCCTGGCTCTTGGCTCCTACATGAATCATCGGGCGATGTAAACAACGTTGATGGGTCAAGACTGTGTCCTGCTAGACACGCTGACCGCACTCGCGGCATTTGCATATTTCTACATGCCATGTCTGCGTAGTCTAAGCGCTCGTTTCCATTGATTGCTCAACAACGCTTTACGATCTCACGACAACGAATGAACAAATATCTTGGAACGAATCTCTCCCCTTTCTGTATATTAGTCAGACCTACGGCCGGTCTTATTCAGACGTCTCGATACCCAAAGCATGACATATCATCAATCACCTCTGTACAGGTAGTGGCCGGACTCATACCTTCAAATTACTATCACGACCGTCTCGGCCTTTTCTTTGATATTTTTCCTTGACTGCGTCTACTTGCAACAGATCGCACTGCAGCTTTCCTGTCACTTGGATAAGCTTCTCCCTGGAAGATCCCGGTACTCATTGGCGAAACACGATTCGATGGCGGCTCGATACGGTGATGTGTCGAGGTTTCGGGGCGGCGAGCTGATGGATAGTATCTAACAATCGTGCGTTTGTTTGTGAGCATTGTGGCTTCCTTATAGTCGTCTCTCTTCACTTGGATAGAAAAATGTCTCCTCGAATCTTTGTGCGTCAATCTATTCGACTCCTTCTTGCGATGTTTTTTTCTTTCCTTACCGTTAACATACACCTACTACGTTTTCAGGTTCCATCATGCGACACCGACGCGTCTACGTCCGCACCTTCTCAAAGTCTGATATGCTCACTATGAGCTGGACCTTCCGAGGCCGTGTCTTCGGTAGGTGTAGTAAAGTCTCATTTCCCCGACGTGAACGTTAAACTGTATTTGGCTAGCGACGATTGGTAAGGAAGCCACACTCTTACAGCTCTTCCTACATCATGCGCGAATGATGTCTTCACAAAATAAACAATAAGGTTTCATTAGCAGCAGATTTGGCCGTCCAAAGAGTCTCGACTTTCATCTAGGCATCTTCGCAATGCGAATCTTGTTCAGCGTTCAGATTCAGCTCAGCCTGCTTAAGGCAGGCAAACAGTTTGCTTCATCCAACTGTCTCAAGCCGGGTACTAACCCGCCGCCTGAGACCCATATTCCCCACTCGTTCATTATATAGCCATTCCGCGGCTTTGCCACGAGTGCAGATATCCTTCGCCAGTTGATTATTGCAAGGCCGCCTCTGCTGCCATTCCCAATCTTAACTACTGGACTTGCGACAATGCATTCGTCGAAGAGATATCCGCAACAACTGTCCTTATTCTGGCTTGCCCATTTCGCCGCAAGACCTACATTCAATTGAGTCCAGGCTCGTAGTGTGTTTGCCAGGTTCAATTGCCCGCTGCTACCTGCCATTCCACTCTGCCGCCAAGCAGCTGTTCGAGCTGGTGCCCGACCACGACTTCAAAGCGAGCAGCCTACATCAAAACTTACAGAACGTGGATGATCAGGCTGAGAACTGGGCGCAAAATCCCTACGTTTGGGATCGTCACTCAAGTCCAGTCTCATCAAGCTCCTGGCGGGTGACGCAACGATTTACTAGGGAACTAGCTACAGCGAAGGTATGCGAGGGAGCGCACGGCATCGACGATCGAGACCGCGAGATGCTCATGTTCAGTAAAGCGAACAACCACGGCTCGATTGTACGCTACCACATGGCGACGGAACTCCAAGGTGTGCCCGCAGCCATCACAAACATGCACCAGGGCATGATTTCCTTCGCAGCTTTGGAACCTAACTTGTCGTCCATGCATCGGGGAGTCCGTCTCAAGCTTGCTGCAGACATGTTCCGGCCACTCTTTTCAGCGTTGGAGTGGCTGCACTACAATCGCATTATCCACGCATCCGTGGCCCCGCCCAGCGTCCTGGTACAAATGACAGGCGAGAAGCTATTAAAAGTTGTTGCTCGTGGACTATTCACACACCTGCATTGTCGACTTTGGCGAAGACATGCCACAAGAGATGCGCCGCGAGGGAGCCCAAGCGATTGCGATCATCGAAACCTGCAGCAACTTCTGGCAACTTCGTCAGAGGCCACGGCCTGAGTGGAAGAAAGAGTCAACCATGGCACAGCTAACACTAGCAGGCGAAGCACACTTCTACCTCGTGCAGCAGGAATGTGAAGATTTCTTCCATCGTAGACAAGGGCTATGGCAACAGGAAGCAGGGGCAGTGATGCTGGAAGCTCTAGCTTTGCAGGAGCGCCAATGGGCACAGGCACGAGACGCTCAGATTAATAACGCTGAGTTGCTTCAAGTCAGTCTAGCGACCCGATCCGGCCTACAAAGGTACTTGGAGGAAAGTCTCCACGGCGGGCGTTTGCGCTGCCCGCCAAGCCCTAGTCGGCGTTGGCTGTTCTTCCGTGCCGACCCCCTCGAGCATGGGCCGCCTGTATCGTAAACCCCGCTTATGTCATGTACCGTGTCTCCTACGTTACTGATGACAATGGGGCTAGCAACAGCCCTCTCTCCCTTCCAAACGCCCCCACGTCAGTCGACCGACGCTGGAGCCGCCCATCCACCTCTCTTCCCTCATCCGATATGGCGTCGTCCCCCCCGGCTGACCCGCCTGCTCACTATGGTGTCCGGCAGCCTGCGAAGACGAGCCATGTCCAGATGTGCCTGCGCGCTTCCTGGCACTGGGGTTGCCCATAGCCCGGGTGGCACAGCACGTTCGCTGGGCGGCCGTTTCTTGACACCCTCGAGCTTCGCCCCTCCTCCTACACAGTCCACACATATATATATGTAACCCGCGGCGTCCACTCTCCTTCACGCGCACTCTTTCGTTCCCTTACACTTCCCTCCTTCCCTCCCCTCGTCCTCTACGAAGCACCCCTCGCTCCTGCTACAACTGCTTCAAGCCCACCTTGGGGTAGTTGAGGCATTCGAACACGCTCCCTGCTTATTCACCAACTTACGCTTCTCTCACAATCATAGAGCCGCCACCCGCCCTCTCACCGTCGCTTCCCGCTCACCCCACTACCCATTCAAACCACGTCCAAAGCGTCCTTCCTCGAGAGAAGACGCCTAGCGGTACTGGGGGATGGGGCGCCTGCGAGGCAATAATTGAAGGCAGAATGCGGGGGCGCCGCAGGCTCACACCCTGTCCCCTAACGACATAGAATCGAGGAGAGCAAAGGCATAGTTGACACTGTAGTCGTACACGGCGCAGCCGCTAGACGACCGGCCGATAATTGCGCCAGCAACAGATGGCCACCGCCGTTGCGCTATGGAGAATTGGATTTCGTAAGTGCCCTTCTTTCTGTTCCCCGTGCACGCAACTGGCCGATTATCGATGTTGAATCTGACATGTGCCCCTAGGTACTTCACCAACGTGATGCAAATGGACCCGAACCAGATCTGGCTCGGTCTATGCCTCGGGACCGAGGAGGCTATAAACTACTGCCGCTTATACCTCCACAACTACGTCGAAGATTCAGTGCAGAAGTTTATGGTTCTTGGGCCAGAAGAGTATGAGTACAGGCGGACTGTGAATACAGCCTCTATAGTCATTCAATGCTGGAGGGAGCTCATTGCCCAGGCTGACTCCACCGTTCTCCTAGATAAAAGGCGCGAGGACCTAGGGAATTACCAGCTGTGGCGACTCAAGTTCATAGATCATACGAATCAACGCGGACAGGGTCCTGTCTTCGAGATCTGCCAGGTAGGTACCCTATTTCGCCTATCCTGAATCCCCAAGAACGCTAACCTCTCTATCCAGTGGATCTTCCATACCCTTGCAAAGGAGCACAAACTCGCCACCACTCTCACTTTTGAGAAGATCGAAGCTACCGCTGAAGACGTCATTGTCCTCCTCAAGACGCTGTGGCAGCGTGCTAATGATATACCCTACCAGCCTAGCACCCGCGTCTCCTTCCACGGCATCCTCCTCCTAGCTGCCATTGGAGGCTTCAGGCGGGCGACGATAACAAGCATCAAGTATAGAGACGTCAGCCTAGCTATAGTATAGGACCCCAACAACCGGTCAAAGACAAAGCTAGTCGTCACCCCCACAATTGGGAAGAACAAGCTGAAGCTGGCTTCGCGCATCTCCAGAGCACTTGTATAAGTATGGCCGCGTCGCTTCTCCTCTCGCCCTATTACCTCTACCCCTCAACACCGCAATTACTCACCCTTATCGAACTGTATAGGATATCCTTCTCCATGACTCTCGTCCCGTATAGCCCCATCTATCTTGCCAGTATTATCGCCGCGCGAGCAATCAAAGACAATACTTTTAAGGTAGGGTTCGAGTCTGTCGAGGCACTACTCTCCCACCCTACCCTCAAAAGCGTAGACTTCTTGCCGCTAGACTAGAAGGAGGAGATACTCAATCGGCCCATTTTCAATCTTTCTAACGGCACGTTCTACGATCTGTGGCATCAGACTTGCCTCGTCAGCAGGTTGCGCGAGGATCCACGGTTCTACACGATGCGGGTAGGCGCCAGCGGAAGACTCAACGGTAAACAAGACCCCATAAAGCTCACACCATGCGAGGCAACTGCTAACCCTAGAACCTCGTAGGCGTTCTCACCGATGCCCTGCGCAATTACATCCTCTCCAACACCACCCAGGTCTTCCAGGGAAGTTACCAAACGAAACGGGTCCACAAGGATCTCGTGAAGCTAGCCTTTAGGTCTATGGCCGGGCGCAACAATAACCTCTTCCAGAGCCTCCACAGCATGTCTCTAAGCCAGGATGCAGGCGCTCCTATAAACGTGAGTACAGAGAACTTGGGAGAATTTAAGAAGCGTCGCGACATGCAGGGCCTCCACGCCGATCTCAAGAAAGCACGACACAAGGATAACAAAGAGATCCAGTCAGTCAAAGCGCAGATCAAGAATCTCGTCAAGGCCCTATCGCATTTAAAATTGCAAGAAAAGAGGGCAGCGTATTTCAAATACGTGGATAGCCTAAGGGCCCAAGGATTACCCACTACGGCTTCCTTAGGAAAAATCCATAGCAGCGGCGCGCTATCTACTATTGCACAGTTCCTTCAAAGCTGCGCCCGGGAGCTCGAGGAAGGCTATTCGGTGGAGCAACGCGCACAACACTACATGGAGCTGCTAGTCAATTACTTGGCTCGTCGGCCGTCGCGCCCGCCCCCAGGGCTGGGCACTCCGAAGATCGCAGTCGAAGGTGGTGGCGACGTGGCCGAGCGTGCCTACGACGAGAGCGTCGACCTCAACCGCCCATGTACAAAGCAGTCCAAATGCCTTCTCTGCGATTCCGCCTTCCGCGGCCGGAGCGAGCTCACTAAGCACTGCCAGAAGATCCACGTCAAAGACGGGACGTTCGACCGGCCTTTCTCATGCCCCGAATGTCTCCGCCTAGGAAGGGGGCACGTCACGATTACCGGGGGCCCTCCAGCTTGGAGCCGTCACGCCGAAGCATCCCACGGCAAAATGTCCACGCCAAACCTTCCGTCGATCCCTCGTTCAGTGGAGGGTTCTGAGCGCTGTTTGCTCTGCCAGCGCTTTTTCCTAGGCGAAGGGGGCCTTTGGAGACACACACGTCGGATCCATGACCAGAACGGAAAGGACTTCGCGCAGCCGTTCTCATGCCCCAAATGCCTCCGTCAAGGAAATGGCGACGCTTCCATCAGCGGTTTCGATGATTGGAAGAATCACGTCCAATCAGACCACATAGAGATGGAAGGGCTCCAGCCTCTGCCCAGCCGACCATGTTCACCTCCTGATGCCTGTAGTCGCCAAGGAAGCAATGGAGGCAAGCGCAAGCGTACGAGGGACGACGCCGACGCCGACCCTACGGTCGATGATGCTGGCGGCGATCGGCCAGAGGACACCGAAGCCGCATCAGATACGACCTGCACTACACCAGCGACGGCCACCAATTCCATGTCGAACACCCAAACCCCAGCCTCTTCAGTAGAATTGGAAAACATTCGGAATATCGATCCTCGCCTACTACCAGACCACTTGAGACAAGGCTCGAAGAAGGTAAAGAGCAGCCTTTTCGACGATCCTGAGGTCGTGTGGCCCTGGGCAACGGAGCCAGGCCCGATTGTGCTCAGCGGATCAGGCACCGAACTGGAAGACCCGGAAGGTGACTGTATACCGGCCGCAGATCCACAGCCAGAGGATCATGATCTGTTCTATACTGGATTGTTGGACGCTGAACTGCATGAGCCAATGGCCGCAGACCGCTTCTACCCGCAAGGGCAAGAGGGCACGGAAATCCTCGAGAATCCACCATCAGAAGCAATCACGACCTCGGCGCTCGCGATGATTGATCTCGGAGACGGCTATCCACGAGGGATGAGTTCCGAGAGCCTTTCCCCTACCCACGTCCCTGATGATGAGGACGTCGGGCAACTCCAACCAGCCGCATTCATTCAATACCCAGCCGAGGAAGAGACGGAGATAGTTGGTAGCCTGACTTCAGCGTTGACGATAGATCCTGAAGACCTAAGCCACGCAGCCAAGCTTTACTGGGGTAGAGGGTACGCTCTCGTACCAGAGGGTCGCGAGCTCAATCGAACCGCGAATAATGCACAGAGACGTGAGGAGATAAGCAGCAACATCAGCTCACAGCATGTGATCACGGGCAAAAGATTGAGGACCTCGGTTAGGAATCGCGCGTAGGTGCAGGCTGGTAATGCTGTCAAAGAGGGGTTCCAAGACTGCTCCTTGGTGAAGACTGCTCCTTGGTGATCTTCCAAGCAAAGAACCGATTAGCAATTCATTCTCTAAATCACGAAGAAACATTGACAGGTTTCTGCACGTCATTAAGTGCTTGTATTGAAGACAGGGCTGCCGAGATTGCGCGGGCGAAATTGTGGATCACCATGGATTCGAGGATGCGGAATGCGCTCTTTCCGACCTATCCTTAGTGTTTAACGGATCTTGGTCAGCACCGCGATATTCAGCTATCTTGCTGGCAGAGGCTATCTTGCTGGCAAACTATCTTGCTGGCAGGCTATCTTGCTGGCAGACTATCTTGCTGGCAAACAATCTTGCTGGCAAACTATCTTGCTGGCAGGCTATCTTGCTGGCAGACTGTCTTGCTACGATGCCCTCGCTTACTCCCTCTACACCGACACACACATTCACACACAAAAAAGAATCAACCTTTATGGCGTAGGAGTGGCCGAACCGAGCCTGGGGAGTCTCCCTCAGGTGTGGGCGGTCGACGAGCCCAGTTGACGCGTGTACCACCCCATCAGCAACCCTGCAGGTTGAGCTCCACTCCCCAGGCCCAGTTAAAGCCTACGCCACCACATACAGCGTTGCATTTATCTCTCTCCCTACCCTACACGCGATGTGACGATCAGACGTAGAACTTTAATCAACAATTAGCCTAAAATGTAATTGATACAATTAATTTAAGGCTATTAGTACGTTTAGAGCAATTAATTTAATTTACTCTTGAAATATTGATTGTATTGATTGTTGACAAGTCTGCCGGTTAACGTGCCTCTTTTGAGTAATAGCAGATTATATCCAAATTTACCCGCTAAGCGAGGAGTATCCACTTGCTCTTTGGGGAATGAGACGGGGTATGACCAGGATCCACGTAACGGGCAGACCTCTAAGTAATCGCGGGCAGACCTGCAACCAGATATGGTTAAGCTTACCTGCAGGCCAAGGCGCCATCTAATCGACCCTTGTTACCGCATAAAATACGCCTGAAATGGGGGATTGATAATGGCTGACTTGCGGTAATCTTGATCAACGCGCGACGCGTGAAGTTTTGGTGTTTTGCATTACTGGCATCGCGCTCATCACCTATACGCGTCAGTTACTATCGTTATTGGCAGCTATCTCCAAAACCAATTGTACGCGATTTTTGTACTGTATCTTGGCTATCAACATGTCAAGACCTAATTGCAACGTCCCAGACGTCGACAACGATGCCCTGTCTCTGGCGGAGGTGTTGCAGGATCCGGCATTCGACGCGCTCCTCACGCAGGTGCCTGCACCTCCGGCATCTGATCCAGGCGACGACGCTGCGGACGAGTACATGCAGGGCTACGAGACACCTCGAGATAGCGATCAAGACGACGCTACCAGCGATTCTGGCGGTGATCATGGTGTTGAGGCAGCTGCTGAGGCACCTCGTGTTGGTGAGCGTCGCGCTCGACATGCCGTTGCCCGCGTGCCTCGTCGGCATAAGCTGAAGGATCCGATCGAGTACGGCTATATCGATTATAGTCTCCTCTACGCAGACGAAGGCCCTCTACGCCCTCATAAGCCTTTGCCAGAGAAGGTGTTTCCATCGCTGACTGAGATGGAGAGGTTCCTAGAGGACTAGGGCCGTGAGCACCATGTTGCCTACAAGAAAGCAAAGTGGCTTAAGAACGTAGCTAGTCAGCGATATAAGTGCTAGATGAGGTGCTTGAGATCTGGCAGGCGTAAGGTGATCGCGGAGGAGGATTGAAAGAGGCTTAACGCGAGGTCTTAGAAGTGTGGTTGCCCGTACGCCTTCTATATTGTCGCTGTGGATTCCCTAGATCTGGAGAACTCTGCATGGCGGATCCTACACATAGAGGGCTAGAAAGTACACCTGCGATCATTACTACACAATCACCCACCATACAAGAATATCTACGCCTGCTCCAAGTATAGAGATGAGTGGCGGACTAAGGAGGTTAAGTAGAAGGTAATCACCTACTTTACCACATCTACACTTGGCGCTCGTGGGGTTATAGTCATGCTGTGGCGCGACTTTCTAGGTATCTCACTCACGCGTGATGACGTACGTAACCTGTATATGCGATATAGGTATAAAGAGTTACAATTAAAGACAAAAATAGAGCTCTTAAGGGAGAAGTTAGAGGCAGGAGGATACTTCTACGAGTAAGTTAAGTACTGGATTTCTGTCACGGTAACCTTAGAGGCTACCTGACAAGCATGGATATACTGCTGGCAGTAGTATATCTTAGAGATATCGCGCGCTGGCAGCCAGTCAACAGATTATTAGATGGGTGGCCCGTCTACTAGCTGATTGGTCAAAGCATGGCGCTAGCCACCCTTGGCGAGGGCGTGCGACGAAGCGAGAAGATAGATCTACGCTGGATAGGGGAGAGGACCTTTTCTCCTTATCCAACGTCTTGTACCTACACGTAGATACCGAACGCAGTATATTGATCTAGCCTACCTAGGCCTCAGACATCTTGCTCGTTGCTCTCGTGACATTACGTTGGATCACACCAACCAACCAACATGACTAGTTCAGCAGACCCGACCCTAATAATGTAGGCGATGATGGAACAGATCAAGATGCTGCAGGAGACCTTTCAGCAAGCTTAGCAGGCTCAATAGGAAGCCTTCCAGCAGTCTCTCCAACAGATGCAGGATCAGCATCAAGCTGACATGGAGGCTCTACGCAAGGAGCTCACCGCGCCCAAGAAGTCTATTCGCTTTACCAATTCCCCTACGTTGACCCCAGCTGAGGAGTCGTCAGAGCCCTCTATGACGCCATCTGGCGATGGCTTGATGACTGTGAAGACGGTGCACCTGAGCGACCGACTACCTAACCCGCCCATATTCACTAGCAAGAGGAAGGACCTACCTCTATTCATTTCTCAATTGCGCATGAAGCTGGAGGGCAACGCTAACTAATACCTAACTAAACGCGCCAAGTTAATATACGCACATTCGCGACTTAACTATAACCCTATAACGCTTACAGATCCGCTAATAGGATCTAATATAGCTACTATAGAGAAGCTAATCACCTTCCTCCGCGCTATATATGACAATCCAAATAGAACACTATCTACCTAGAGCAAGCTGGATAACCTTAAATAAGGAAAGCGCCCTTTCCTTAGCCACTTTACTAAATTTTGACGCCTTATAGCAGATACCAATCTAAATAAGGAAGCGTAGATTAATGCCTTACGCCACTCACTATCTAATAACCTCTAACGCACAATGGTAGGAGCCAAAATCCCATCTGACATCAACAAATACGCCAACCTAATCACCTAATACAATAATAACCTCCAATACCTACCTACCCGCCTAACCCACCGATCGAACTATACCTATAAGGTCACGACTCTAAGACAGTAGCTCAACCTAGATATAATAGAGATTAATATATTGTCGCGCGCAACTCTATCAGAGTAGAAGAAGGATTAATACCAATGGAAAGGACTCTACTTTATATATAGCACCCATGGACATATAGCTAGGGAGTGCCCTAAGAAGACATAGATATAGACTATGGATTAATAGGGCTCTCTAAGTCGACGCGCGCCGTCACCTAGATTAGACGTATTATTAGATATGAGCTCTCACTCCTCATCTTAATTGCGCTTACGACAACGACGATTATTATAGGGAAAAGCCCGGTCCCAAAGATAAGTCGCTTAATAGGACTACGCCAGATATAAGTCTCAATAGATCTATGGACTCATCCATTAGGTGGAACTTAGGAAATATAGATTAACATTCCCTATACAATCTAGCAAGGCAGCGCCAAATAATTAGTAACTACCTTAGTTAACACTAGAGCTATAGGATATAGTTTTATCCATTAAGACCTCACGCGCAACTTAAAACTACGTCTATAGCCACTACCCTACGTTATATAGCCCACTAGATTTAATGGACAACAACTTAAGAATAGATAGATTACGCATATAGCTAGTATACATCTCCTTTACTAGAACTATATAGAGTAGATTAAGCTCTACGTAACGACTACTAGC